GGAAAAAAGACAGTCTCTTCAACAAGTGGTGTTGGGAAAATTGGACAGCCACATGCAGAAGAATGAAACTGTACCATTTCCTTACACCACAGACAAAAATAGACTCAAAATGGGTGAAAGTTGTCAAGTGAGATAGGAATCCATCAAAATCCTTAAGGAGAACAAAGGCAGCAACCTCTTCAACCTCAGCTGCAGCAGCTTCTTCCCAGAAACATCACCAAAGGCAAGGGAAGCAAGGGCAAAAATGAAGTATTAGGACTTCATCAAGATAAAAAGCTTTTGCACAGCAAAAGAAACAGTCAACAAAACCAAAAGACAACTCACAGAATGGGAGAAGATATCTGCAAATGACATATCAGATAAAGGGCTAGTATCCAAAATCTATAAAGAACTTATCAAACTCAACACCAAAGAACACATAACCCAATCAAGAAATGGGCAGAACACATGAACAGACATTCCTGCAAAGAAGACATCCAATGGCCAATAGACACATGACAAAGAAGACATCCAAATGGCCAATAGATACAGGACACATGACTCAGCATCAGGGAAATAGAAATCAAAACCACAGTGAGATACCACCTCACACCAGTCAGATTAGCGAAAATTAACAAATCAGGAAACGACAGATGTTGGTGAGGATGCGGAGAAAGGGGAACCTTCCTACACTGTGGATGGGAATGCAAGGTGGTGCAGCCACTCTGGAAAACAGCATGGAGGTTCCCCAAAAAGTTGAAAATAAAGCTACCCTATGACCCAGCAATTGCACTACTGGCTATTTACCCCAAAGATACAAATGCAGATTCAAAGGGGCACGTTGCACCCTGATGTTTATAGCAGCATGCCCACAAATGCCAAACTATGGAAAGAGCCCAGATGTCCATCAACAGGTGAATGGATGAAGAAGATTTGGTATGTATGTGTGTGTGTGTGTGTGTGTGCATATATATGCACACACATATGGAATGGAATGTGGATGGAATATATATAGAATGGGATGTAGATATATGGCAATGGAATATATATATGGAATATTAGGCAGCCATCAAAAAATGAAATCCTGCTTTTTGCAACAATGTGGATGGAACTAGTGGGTATTATGCTAAGCACAGTAAGTCAATCAGAGAAAAACAATTATCTTATGATCTCACTGAATGATATGTGGATTTGAAGAACAAGGCAGAGGATCATAGGGGAAGAAAGGAAAAAAATGAAACAAGACAAAGCCAGAGAGGGAGATAAACCATAATAATAATAAAAAGTTACCTTCCCCTTTTCAATCAACTTCTGAACTTTTGCCCATTTCCAAAAATAATTATTTTATATTTTTTCTACTCACCTTTTCCTAGGATTCCATATTTCTAGTAACACATGTGTTAGACTGCTTTCTTTTGCCTCACACATCACTGATGCTTTTTTCCTTTTTAACTTTTTTTATACCTTTGCTTCATTTTGGATAGTTTGTATTGCTGTGTCTTCAAACTTATCTCTTCTTCTACAGTGCCTTATCTGCTGTTAATCTAATCCAATGTATTTCTCATTTCTAATATTTTATTTCTCATCTCTAAAGTCTGTCTTCTAACTTAAGTTCCTCTCATCATCATGTTCTCCTTACTTCTTTGAACATAACAAATATAGTTTATAAAAGCTGTTTTGATGTCCTCTTTTTGCTTGTTCCTGCATTTTTGTAATTTCTGAATTTCCTTCTATTGGCTGTTTTTTCTCTGACTGTGGGTTTGTATGTTCCTACTTCTATGCATGACCAAGAATTTTTTATTGATTGCCAGGAAGAGTGAAATTTACATCCCTCGTTGTTGGATTCTGTTCTGATGTACAATTATTTGCAACCAGCTGCAACCTTTTTAGTCTTGCTTTTAAGCTCTGTTAGAGAAGGTCCAGAGCAGTCTTTAGTCAAGTCCAATTATCTCCGTTATTAAAGCGGTAACTTTCCAAGTATTGTGCTCTGTGAAATCTTTGAGCTCTAGCTAGTAAAAACATGAATATTTGCCAACCCTGTGTGCTCCAAATATTGTTCTACTCATCCTTCTAGCGGTTACTTCCCTGGCCTCAATATCCTCTCACATGTGCACAGATCACTACTCAAACACTCCAGGGGATCCCTCTAGAGATCTCTGGAGCTCTCTCTTTGAGTTCTTTCCCCTTATTACTCCACTCTAAAAATTCTGGCAGCCTTGACTTCCCCAAACTCTGACTTCCATCTCTTTAATTCAGCAAGACTAGCAGAGACTTTCCCTGACCACCCCCATCTCATTTCCTCTAGATAATAACCTAGTATAATCTTAGTACTCATCTGGTTTATTTCTTCTCTGTCAGTTCTACACTGCTTGTTGTCCGATACTTAAAAACCATTACTCTGTATAATTTCTCTGGTACTTTTCAGTTAACATAGTAGAGTAAATCCAAACCCATAATTCCATCCTGGCTGAAGTAGAAGTCTACAATATCATTCTCCACCTCCCCCTGCCTTCTTTTTTTCTTTTATTTATTTATTTTGATTATTAACATATAATGTATTATTTGTTTCAGGAGTACAGGTATGTGATTCATCAGTCTTACACAATTCAGAGTGCTCACCATAGCACATACCCTCCCCAATGTCCATTACCCATCCCCCTCACCTCCAGCAACCCTCAGTTTGTTTCCTGAGGTTAGGAGTCTCTTATGGTTTATCTCCCTCTCTGGCTTTGTCTTGTTTCATTTTTTTTTCTTTCTTCCCCTATAATCCGCTGCCTTGTTTTTAAAATTCCACATACCATTCAGTGAGATCATAAGATAATTGTTTTTCTCTGATTGACTTACTGCGCTTAGCATAATACCCACTAGTTCCATCCACATTGTTGCAAAAAGCAGGATTTCATTTTTTGATGGCTGCCTAATATTCCATGGTGTATATACACATATACATACATACCACATCTTCTTTATCCATTCATCTGTCGATGGACATATAGACTCTTTCCATAGTTTGGCTATTGTAGATATTGCTGCTGTAAACATTGGGGTGCACATGCCCCTTTAGATCACTGCATTTGTATCTTTGGTGTAAACACCCAGTAGTGCAAGTGCTGGGTCATAGGGTAGCTCTATTTTCAACTTTTTGGAGGAACCTCCATATTGTTTTCCAGAGTGTACAGCAACATTCTTAATGAGTGCCTAGAATTCCATGGAATGGATGTATCATCTGGGCTATAGGTATTTGATGAAAAAAACCTACCTGGTTCACCATTGTACCCAAAGATTCTGAGGAATGATGGAATTTGGCATATACCAGGACTCAATAATACATATTGACTGAAAAGATTAATATTGAGACTATTTCTTTTCATTTCTTAGTATTAAAATGCCAAATGCACATTTTTGTTGCTAAATTCTACCAAAATCTGTAGTAATAATTATTTATTTAGGATACATTTCTCTAAGTAAAAATTCTGGTTCAAAGAAAAGGCAGGTTTTAAAGCATTAATGTTTATTTCCAAGTTGACCAAATAGAATCATTTTACAGGCTCACTGGCCAATAAGTTTTTTTGAATACGTATTTTTCTTTTTTCTTCACAAAATTGGGATATTTCATTTTTTAAAAATCTTTGTTAATTTCATAGGTTTGAAGGTCATCTAATTTTAGTAGTTATTTTTATTTATTTGATTACTATTTAGGTGGGTCATTTTTATGTTTTTGTTTTCATTTGTAATCCTGAGTGTCTATTATGCAAAAGTTTTGTGATTTTTTTTTAAAACAAAATAGACTGCAAGAATTCTTAATCACTATAACATTCATCCTATATTCAGTGCAATGTCCAAAGTTTAGAGGGATATTTGTTTTTAATCATTGTTTTTCTATCATCATGTTTAAGTCAGCTCAAAACCAGCGAGCTCATTTAGTACTCCAAACAATGGACAGTATGTTCAAAGGATTCAGAAGTCTGGCAGAATCAAATAACAAAAAGTCAAAGAAAAGAATTCTAATTAAAAGCACTTTTCACAGGTCAAAAGTGTAAGCTCATTAATGTTTTACCATGCAGATGGCATTAATAAGTAACCAAAGATGCATGATCATTACTATTGTCCCCACCATTATTCCTTTGATATAAATGGCTCAGTAGATGTAAGGCACTTACCCAGATGAAGAGATTCAATAATTAACATGGTACCTAGTCTCCCTCCCTACAAAAAACTCAGAGGGGTCAATAAAGGAAGACACAAATTATTCAAGAGAGAAAGAAATATTCTCACCTTCTAACAGAGATAATTTATCCCAACAATATTTATAATTGCAATAACATTGGAAATTTCCAATATTATAGTAAATTATTGTCCAAAGGAGTTAGGATGGCAGAATAGTATGGGGACCCTGGGCTTGTCTCATCCCTCAAACACAGCTTGATTATAGTAAATGGTTAAGTAAATTATGAGACCATGCCTAACTAAAGAAATATGCTGTCATTAAAAACAAGATGTTTCTTAAAAAAATTGTTAGTAACATGGGAGAATGCCTATGATATAATGTTAAATTTTTTTAAAGACAGGCAACTGGGGTGCCTGGGTGGCCCAGTGGGTTAAGCCTCTGCCTTCAGCTCAGGTCATGATCTCAGGGTCCTGGGATCGAGTCCCGTATCAGGCTCTCTGCTCAGCGGGGAGCCTGCTTCCTCCTTTCTCTCTGCCTACTTGTGATCTCTCTCTGTCAAATAAATAAATAAAATCTTTTTTAAAAAAAGACAGGCAACTGTACATGCACTAAAATTACAATTATGTAAAATATGTTTATTATAAATATATGCAATAAAGGACTAGTAGGAGATACATTAAAATATCCATCTCTGTGTAGTGAGATAAGAAATGGTTGATTTTTCTTCTTCTTTTGATTTTTACAATGACAATATATTACTTTGCTAACCTGATAAAAACAACACCAGAGGCCAAGTTTGTAAGGGGAGAGACACATACCAAGCTGATAACAGTAGTCATCTCTAGGAAGAGCAATGAGACTGAGGTAAATTCTCTGTCTCTCTCTTTCCTCAATAAATGAAGAAACTGAAATTTAGAGAAATAACTTGATTTGGGGAAATTTACATGGAAGTAAGATAAAACCGGAGACGTTTGATGTCTCAAACACTGGAAACACCAAACTTACACTAATATATTAGATATAGCACGTCTTGTTAAAAGGTCCATAGTGGATATGCAGCTCTCTGCTACTACACTACTGGGCAGATAGTAACTCACTTAAGGAATGGCCAGGCTCATACCCAGAACAAACCAGGGACTATGACCTCTCTTCACATTAACCCTCACCTACCTATTAACACGTGCTTTTATTATTATAGGTGAACGGACTGAGTTATAAGCAAAGACCATCCACTCCAATTTGTGTGCTAGCTCTACTCCTTTTTGACATTGTGCCACAAATCTCATTTCTCACTGCTATATTCTCAATTCTTTTCCTTTTCTACTTGATGATTGTCCATCTTGGGGGGAAAATGCTCTTGATTTCACTTTCCTTTCCTCCTATCACTTCATTTCTTTTCCCCCGTTAGAGAAAATCTTAAGAGTTATCTAGGTTTGCTGTCGCCTATTTCTCTCCTCCCATCTTCTCTTAAACCCTTCTGTTTTAAATTTTGTACCCACCACTCCCCAAAGACCTCCATGTCGCTAAACCCAATGATCAATTCCAAGTTCTTGTCTGACTTGATCTATCAGAAGTATATCAGAGGGGTGCCTGGGTGGCTCAATCAGTTAAGTGTCTGCCTTCAGCTCAGGTCATGATCCTGGCGTCCTGGGATCAAGCCCCACGTCAGGCTCCCTGCTCAGCGGGGAGCCTGCTTCCTCCTCTCTCTCTGCCTGCTTCTTTGCTTACTTGTGCTCTCTCCCTCTGTGTTCAAATAAATACATAAAATCTTTAAAAAAAAAAAAACGTTTTATGTGTTTATTTGACACAGAGAGAGAAACAGGGAGAGAGGGAACACAAGCAGGGGGAGTGGGAGAGGGAGAAGCAGGCTTCCCGTTGAGCAGGGAGCCCAGGGAGCCCGAAGTAGGACTCGATCTGAGGACCCTGCGATCATGACCTGAGCCGAAGGCAGACATTTAATGACTGAGCCACCCAGACACCCCCTCAAACGTAACATTTCCAAAGTGGGACTCCTGACCTTCTGTTCCACTCATAGTCTTCCCAACCTGAGGAACACCAGGTTTATTCTTCAGTTTCTTAGCCCCCAAATAACTTAAAATTCATCCTTAACATCTCATTCTCTCACCAAAAAAATCTTATAGGCCCTACCTTCAAATTATATCCAGAATCTAACCTTTTCTCATTACCTTTATTACTACTACTCTGGTCCAAACTAAAATCACCTTTGGTTTGGACAAAGCAGTTTTCTGACTGGCCTCCCTGCTTTCACCCATGTACTCAGAACTCAAGTGCATTCTGGAGGGATCTCTCTGGTTGCTGTGTTAAAAAAAGCTATAGAGGAACAAAGATATTATCTTAAATTTTATAGTTGAGAAAACCAAGGCTTAGACAGGTTGAATTGTTTGTTCAGGATCACATACTAATAAAACATTAGAGACTGTTCTTTTTTTAACCCTTCACCATTGTGTTATACTTTCTTGATATGTAGGAGACCCCAACTTAACTGCTTTACCTGGGGCAGTCCTGGCTTACACATGTTGTCCTGGCATGATTTAACTGTGCCCTCCTTCAGCCCACAAATAAATCCTGTTCAGGGTGATAAACTACATGATATAGAGAAATAGACATATAAATAAGTATATAGACTATGTCTCTTTATCTACCTATCTTTATATCTATGTAGATAAAGAATATAGATGACATAATAGCATATGTATTTTATCCTGTCAGTAAGCAGGAGTTGGACTAGGTGGATACAAATATAGATTATCCTACTTACTTTCATCGCCATCAAGTGTTTAGTGTGATGAGTATCAGATTAATAATGACTCTCAGCTCCCTTCAGCTGCCAGAAAGTTATTTGACTCTAGGAGATCAATTAGAAATGTCCCAATGAAAAGAATCAGTGATTCTTGGTCAATGTTTCACTTTAGAATTCCCACATCCTCTTCTCTAACTTACCAGTGCTCATACATGTGAGTTTTTAACTCTGCCATTACTTTAGTCTTAGTCCCCAGTTCCTCTCTGCTATCATCTGATGGATATTTTAAATCAGATTTTTTTTTGCTGCCAACATCTTGACATGCCTGCAATCAAATATTACCTGACCCTCTAAACACATCTCCCTTCAGACGTCCTCAGTCCTATGAATGAAGTCATCTATTACCCAGACTCAGACTGCAAAGTCCTCTCCCACCTCCTCATTTGCTCTGCCCCACCCCATTCACCTCTTCCAGCCACCCAGGTTTATCAGTCATCAGTAGACATTATATCTACAGCACTAAAGAACTATAAGAGCCTCTGCCTCTGCCCCTTCTCCCTGAAAAAGCTTTATTTGGAAAATCTTCCTCAAGTACTGCTGTAATTACAGCTTTCTTTTTCAAAGCATGCGTTCTCCAGAGTCCAGCCCAACTTATAACTCCTTCAAAGAAACCTTCCACCCACAGAAAGGCATTTCTCCCTCCTTTGGATCTCTACCAAACCTCTTATCTGTACCAATTGCTCAACACTCTTACCACCTGGTACTGTTATCTTTTCTCTTTAATTATAGTATGGCATTCCTGAGGCCCAGGGTCCTATCTGATTTTTTTTTTTTAATCTCCCTCAAGTCCAATACATTGGGTGGTGCTGAATGTTTTCCCTGTTTGGTGGCAGGAAAGTTGAAGGACAGCCAAAGTAGACGAACTCTACACGAGACAACTTCAATTCAAAAACTAGGATTGGAGTAAACCTCTTGCAACGTCTTTCCAATGTTCCTTAGAAAAGTTCTAGAAATAGTCTCAAGGTCAGTCCTATACTCTCAATCACTTCATCAAACTCTTCTGAGAAAAGAAGGTTCTCTTTAATTAATATATCTGGACAAACAGTTTTGAAGATGAAAATATATGCTTCACTTGCTCTAGGCAACCCTGCTGGACTTTCTGATTGTCTTATGTATATTTTCCATTTATATATATCTTCATTCTGGAAATGCTGTCTGAATTTTGATTTCTCAAAAAACAAATGGGGGTAAGTTGATTGAAAGAAAATAAACTTTATTTGTGACATTTAACACACCTCCAGAGTACTGTGTCATTTAACTCCTCTATTTCTCTGAAACAGTCATTTAGAAAACATTTTGGTAAAGCAGGAAGGGAACTAAATTGGGAAGGATCTGGCCACTTGATATAATGCATCCCACTCTTCTCTAACACTTACCACCATCTACTTTATTCTTCAAGTATGTGTGTTTTGCTTCTTCTGTGTCCCCTTTCGACTAAAATGTGTTCTTCATGAGAGCAGAAACATTGTCTGTCTGCTTCTTCAATAGTCCTTGGGTGGTAAAACTTAAGTAAATCATTTAGCTTCCTTGAGTATTAGTTTCCTCATAGGTAAATTTTAAAGACTAAATTAGATAACCTCTAGTTTCTTTTTTATTCAATAATTTTATTATTATACAATATAATGAGAAGCATAAAATACAAAGCTAATTGAGGTTTATGGTGACCAAAAACTCTTCAGTTGATTACGGCAGCTCTTCTAGCCAATTGGATATGTGCCATGAAATGTTTACTTTTCCTGCTTAAAGCACAAAGAAACATAGCAACTAGTCCTGTCATATAGATTGGTTATTTCTGTTATTGCTTCCAGATTTCTCAAGGCTAAACCAGATTCTCTTAATGCCTGAGATACTTTAAAAGTTGACTATCTCTTTAAGCCCACTGAGCTCCAACTTAATAGATCAAGTTAACTTCATTAAATGACCTCCAGTGATTTATAGTTTTGAACTACCTTCTTTTTTTTTTAATCTTTCCCATTATCAGTCATTTTCATCATTCTGCCCATTTGCAAAAGTAAAATGTTAGTGTCTATGTGACTAGGAAAATCAGATAATTAGAAATTCAAGTTTAGAGATAAATTAGTGAATGATTATTTACATTGCAAAATACTTCTTAATGCTCATCCTCATACTTATTATATAGTTGTCAACTCATGAGCTATCTTAAAATCTTTATGGAAGGATTCCATTCATAAAAAACAAAGTCAGTTTAAACACAGCAATCAAAAGAAACAAGGAGACCACTGTAAATCATACTTCTGCTTCAAGTAAGAAGTTGCAAATGTTTACTCTTCCCCCATGCTGCCTGCAGTGGTGGTAGCTCTCTCCTACTCAGCATCACGGCCACCCTCAGACCTCTGGTGAAGTTCAAGATTGTTAAAAAGAGGACCAAGAAGTTTATCCAGCACCAGCCCAACCAATATGTCAAAATTAAGTGCAGCTGGTGGAAATCCAGAGGCATTGACAAGAGGGTACACAGAAAATTCAAGGGCCAGATCTTGAGGCCCAACACTGGTTATGGGAGCAACAAGAAAGCAAAGTACATGGTGCCCAGTGGCTTCCAGAAGTTCCTCATCCACAATGTCAAGAAGCTTGAAGTACTGCTGATACGCAACAAATCTTACTGTGCAGAGATTGCTCACAATGGCTCCTCTAAGAACCACAAAGCTATTATGGAAAGAGCCACCCGGCTGGCCATCAGAGTCACCAGTCCCGATGCCAGGATGTGCAAGGAAGAAAATGAAGAAATAGCTTATGTGCATATCATATTTGTGTTAATAAGACCATAGAACTATAAAAAACCAGAAGTTGCAATGCTGTCCTACATTTATAAAGTGAAAGATACACCATTAAGAAATCAAAAGTATGATTTGTGGGCTCACAGAGAGGGAATAAATGATTAATGGGGGACATGTGGATTCACAAAGAATACCAACTTAAACCGACTTCATTTTTTGATAGTACCAACAAGACTGATAGATCAGAAGAATATTATAGGTGTGCAAGGATCTGAATTTTAGTACTTCTAGATAACTTTATTGAAAGCATGGTGAAATGTGAGCTGATAATCAGACAGTTGGGTTGATTTCAGAAATGGCTGAATGGACTACCCAAGGATGCCATCAAAGCACGGACATCAGCTTAGAGGGGTTTGATACCACAATCTGTCCACATCCTGTATGATGGAAGACTTGGAAGATAAACGACATAAATAAATGAGTGGGTAGCAAAAAGCTAGCTGGAGTACTGAATTCATGGGACAACCAAGTAGCAACCCAAAGCAAATTCAATAGAGCTAAATCATGTGATTAATTTTACATGAAAACTATACTGGTAATCAGTTGTCAAAAAAATGCAAAGTAAAACAATAGTAAAAAAAAACAATACTGAGATAACACTTCATACCTCTTTAAAATGACTAAAACTTAAAGGACTTACAGTAACTAGTGCTGGAAAAGATATGGAAAACTAGAATTTTATACATTAATAGTGAGAGCATAAACCAGCACTACCACTTGGGGAAACTTTTTGACAGCATGTACTAAGCAAAAGAGCCATGTATCCTAGGACTCATCCGTTTTACTCTTAGATATATAATCAACAGGTATGAGTACATATATCTTCCAAAAGACATGTATGTAATTGTCATGGTAGCTTTATCCAAAAAACCAAACAGTTGAATAGATAGGTAAATTGTGGTATAATTTATACTATGGAATGTTACATAACAATAAAAAAGAATAAGCTTTTGCCTTACTCAGCAATATAAATAAATTTCACAGACACCAGGTGAGAATTGAAATTGCACAATTCCATTTACATGAAGTTCAACCATGCAAAATTAATTCATGGTAATAGAAGCGAGAATAGTGCTTACATTTGGGGAGCTGCTGGCTGTGAGAGGACATGAGAGAACCTCCTGGAATTCTGGAAAAATTCCATGTGTTGACCTGGGTGGCAGTTAGATTGACATTTGTATCTACAAAAATTCAGATTAGTGCCCATTATTACATCTAAATTATTCCTCCCTGAAAAGATCATAGGTAAGAGCCTAGCGGTGGGTATTAAGGAGGGCACGTATTGCATGGAGCACTGGGTATGGTGCATAAACAATGAATTATGGATCACTGAAAAAAAATCAAACAAACAAACAAATACATGCTATAGGTGCCCCCTCCCCCAAAAAAAGAACAGGAAATGGCACTTAGATTCAAATAACCAACTCTACAGGATAGAGAAGAGGCCAGGCCATGCAAATGAAAATACTAGTGGGTTTTAGTTGTATACACACACAATCTAGGTACATGGCATGGATAAAAGCTAATGAGGTCTTACTATTCCTGAAATCGTGGTGTCAAGAACCAGGCCTTCTCTTCAATGTTTAGATTACACTCAGGGCATTGCGGTCATTTTCTTCTGAATTCTTTAAGGAGCACATCAACCAATTGGTATGTATCCAGAAAAAAATAACCATATGTTAAACATATGTTGAACATCTGAGGAAAGTCTAAAAGAGCTAAGGCTTTTTAGCCTGGGGAGAAAAAAGAAAAGACTTACAGGAAAGCTGGATTTATTCTACATGTCCTCAGAAGGCTGAAATGAAATTAATAGGCAGAAGTTGCAAGTAGGTTGATTTTGTTCTAACATAAGGAAGAGCTTTCTAAATAGCAGAATTGCTGACAAATTGCCCCAAGAGGTAATAAGCTGATCAGGCAATGACCAGACATCAGCTTGTACACTAGTGGAAGGGCCTGTCGCAGCCAGTGAGTTCAAGAAGATGCCCTCTATGTTCACTCTGTATTCTAGTATCTTTCAAATCAACATTAGTGTCTGTCTTGGGAAAATTTAGTAGGACTAAAGAAAATCCACAAGCTGCTTATTCTGCACAGAAAGTCACCAACTGGGGCACCTGGGTGCTCAGTCAGATAGGCGTCTGCCTTCAGCTCAGGTCATGATCCCAGGATCCTGGGATGGAGCCCCACATTGGGCTCCCTGCTTGGCAGGGAGCCTGCTTCTCCCTCTCCTCCCTCTGCCTGCAGCTCCCCCTGCTTGTGTGCTCTCGCTCTCTCACTCTCTCTCTCTGTCAAATAAATAAATAAAATACTAAAAAAAGAAAGAAGGAAGGAAGGAAGGGAGGGAGGAAGGAAGGAAGGAAGGCAGGAAGGAAGGAAGAAAGAAAAGTCACCAAACACATCTTTTCACCTCAAAAAGAGAGGTTTCTCTCATCCACAGTGTCAGTCACATTCAAAGACTTCATTACTTAGAAAAGCTCTCCTGAGTAGATAAAACACATTTCTGAGGATGGTAAAACAGAAGGGGAATCTCTTGATGACGGCTTTCCTGATAACCCATAATTTAAACTGTAACCATCTTTATATATATGCTTTCTATTTTTAGATTATTTCCTCAAGCTATATCCCACAATGTGAGTGATAACTGAGTAAAAGGGCACAAAATCAGTTTTATGGCTCTAATTGGACAAAATGCGCTCCAGAATTACTGAAGCAATTGAAAAGTCACTAGCAACACAGGAATGTATCTATTCTCCCACACCTCCATTACCATCGGATGTTGCCACCATAACTCATTTTTTTAAATTTAATAAGTAATAGTAGAGCTCAGAGGTGTTTTCATTAATATTTCTTTAATTTTAAGTCAGGCCAGACACTGAAAAGAATTCAAAGACTTTTTGGAAAAAAAAAAAAAAAAGAAGAAGAAGAAGAAGAAAGGCCTTAAGCGATCCCACAGCCATCCCACACTGGTTTGTCAGGCTGCAGTTCAGTCTGTGTGAGCCGAAGTGTTCATTGCTTTGACAGGGACCTCCTCTGTTCTCACAAAGCCAAGTGGTTCCATGGGATGGCAAACATGCAACCGGCGCCATCTTCCCTGGGCGCTAATTGCACATTACACTGGGGTGGTGCTGCTTTCTCATTAACCTGCTATACTTCGTTTCAGGAAGAGTTTGTCTCTCTGTGGTTCTAGTAACAGTAAATTTTATACACAGAGCCACAGCAGACAGGAGCCCCACGAAGAGTTCTTAGAAACTGATGAGCCAGTGGATTCCACTGAGAAGACTGCTATAAACCAAACAGGTCACTTCTGTGTGGTGAAATTTGGGAGTCACTTTTTTTTTTTCCTTAGCTATTCTGTATTTTTAAATTTTTCCACGATGCACGTGGAGTGCGTGTATAAATTTTTTAAAAAATCATCCTGATGGAAACAGTGACAAGTAGGAGGCGTATGAATAGAAGGAAAAAAATTATCTCTAAACTGTATCCCCTTTGTTCTTAATTTTTTTAAAAAGAAAAGACTCCCATAATAGGCTCCACTGATACATAACTTGTTAAAAGCCATAGATCACGATGAAGCAAAGAGTGCAGACATGGAATCCAGCAAAGACTCAAAGATCACCGTAGAGGCACCTGCGTTTCTAAGTCAGGAGTCAGAAAAGAAAAGGAGGCGATGTCCATGTGGGCCCGCTTCAAAGCCAATCATACTTTAGCATTCTCTGCAAACACTTTTCTGTTTGAGTCTCCTGAAAGGTTCTGAATGCCTAATTCATTGTGCATTACCGGGAAACACTAACAGGTAATCCAACAGAAGGAAGGGAGAGAAGCTACAGGCACTTTGGCCTCGTTATAAGCTACTTAATGACCCTTCTGTGTTTATATTTTCATATATGATTAGGCCTCAAGGGAATTTACAACTGGGGGGGAAAGATCCAAGAAGGGTCAGTGGGGTGTCCTCCCTAAGTTCTAAAAACTCAATATACTTCCCAAAGCTTGACTCAAGCCAGACTGAAGGCAAATACTGTTTCTTCCCCTACCCAGCCCATTAAGCCTGCACTTGTGAAACACGTAGCTTACAGACGCTTCCCCACTCACTACCTTAATCCTCCGGGCACCTGCAACCAAGCCAGAACCCCACACAAGGCAACTTCAATGAACCTTTGTTCTAACAGAAATACCCATCTTTACTAATGCACACAGGGATACAATTATTAGGATTTACCTCTTATAAAATTAGGGCTAAAACTACTTTCAACTGTAATTACTTAAATAAAAAGATCTGACACATCTCAATTAAAAGTTCAAAATGTACATTCAAATCTTTTCTGAGCGCTTTTTATAAAAATCATTTAACCTTATATACATATATAGAGCGAGATGGAGAGAAAGAGAGAGCACACAATATTCTTTAACAAAAACAGTAGGTCTTTAAAGAGAGGTACTAATATATTAGGGGTTAGATACTTAGAAAACATATACAGAGTGTAAAAATGTTGAAATAAAACCAATACCATTTAGAATAACCTTGAAAAATAAATCTGATTCATAGAAGTCCACAGATATGACCTTTGCAAAACGACTGAGTTGCATTCTCAAAACTTACTAAAGCTGTAAAATGTACAGTATAGGGGCCCTGGGATTTTACATGAGAGCAAGTTGGCTTCACCTGTTTCAGGTCTCAGGGCTCAAGATGGAAAAGATGACAGGAGGGGCCAGACTAAGCTGTGTCTGGAAGGGCAGGTCGTGAAGTCCTGTAAAGAGAGATGAGGTTCGGGGCGCCTGGGTGGCTCAGTGGGTTAAAGCCTCTGCCTTCGGCTCAGGTCATGATCCCGGGGTCCTGGAATTGAGCCCCACATCAGGCTCTCTGCTCAGCGGCGAGCCTGCCTCCCCACTCTCACTCTGCCTGCCTCTCTGCCTACTTGTTAACTCTCTCTGTCAAATAAATAAATAAAATCTTTAAAAAAAAAAAAAAAGAGAGAGAGAGATGAGGTTTGACAAAA